CATAAATTTATTTAAATTTATTTATAGGTTCATCATTATTATAATGAATAAATATCTAATAGCATTAAAAATTATATGAAAACTGATCAAATTCAATGTTCATCTTACAATTTAATCACTTAATAGATTTATGATACATGGTATAAAGTTGATATTCTTCTTATTCAAAAATCATTCAAAGTTTGTGGCATTTCAAATTCTCAGGATGAAAAAGAAGACTAATTAATTTTTGATTATAAACAAGTTGGACTATGAAAATAAGAATATTGTATAATTTTCAATTTAAATAATGATAATGATGAAGGATCCAGTGAAAATGAAGAAAATTTGATTGATCTGTTTTTAAATTTAGAATAAGATATAGAAAATAACCAAGAAAATGAGTATTACAAAACTAATTAGCTTAATTATATCAATGATTAGTAAAATAATTAGATTTTTTTAATTTAGTTTATCAATACTAATTCAATAAAATCAAACTTATATTAAGATATAATATAGACCTGGATCTTTATTAATTTTTCAGGATAGTATCTTTAATATGTATCCAGGTATAATATATAAGGAGTATTCTATTTAAGGGGTATTCTATACAGTAATATATGATAAGTATACTATCTATAGCTTATTGAAAAGTTGCTGATACATTACAAAGTTCAAAAGATATAACTTTGAATTCATATAATTCTTTTCTTGAGATAAATGCTGTCTTTTTAATACTGGATAGTTCTATTTTAATTTGCCAATAACCAGATGTAAGATCCATAAATGAAAACTATTTTGCATCTTTAAGATTATCTATCATTTCATCAATTCATGGTAAAAAATAGATATCCTTCTTGGTAAGTATATTGAGTTTTCTGTAATTAATACAAAATCATTTCTTGCTATTCTTCTTTACTGCTACTATAATAGATGAGATTCAGAGACTATTGGATTTTTGGATGATATCTGCATCTAATATTTATTGAATTTCATCATGAATAAATTCTTGATCAGGTATAGTTGCTCTATAAGTCTTTTAACAAATAGACTTTTTGTTCAAGTTCAGTTAAGTCTGATACAAAAATATTCTTATATACTTATAATAAGTTATATAAGATATCTTGTTATTCAAGTATTAATTCTCTTTATTCAACTACTTTTGTGATTTCTTTTTTATCCAGAAAGTATACTTCCATTCATCTTTTCTAGTTAATTCAAATTCTTGAGTTCTACAAGATGATTCTTCTAATTTCTCTCTAGTAAATACTGATATCATTCCTTCAATTAGAATAAATTATAAAAAGATTATTTAGATAATTTATTCATTAGGTTGAATTTTATAAGATTCATAGAAATTATTATGTAAAAGAACTCTAATATTTCTAGTATATCCAGCATCAATGATTTCTTCTTTAACTTCTATTTCTTTCTTGACTAGTGATAATCAAGATATTAATTAACAAACAGTTTCTACAGGAACTTCAATTGTCAAATAAAGATCAATCATTATTATTTGGTAAGATTGAATTAGGATTGTTTCTTTTCTAGGATATCTGAGATCAAAGCCTGTATCATGTTCATAAGCTTATTCAGATATTTTTTCTTTATCTTCATATTATATATTTTGATCATTAAATTTGCTATTTGTTTTTCAAGTTTTTCTTCTTCTTCTTCATCTTTATAATCTTCAGATACTATATAATATTTATTTAGAATTTTTTTAATTAAATCATAATTATTATCTTCAGCTTTCTCTTCTTTTTCTAGTTCTGAACATTTTTCTTTTAGTAATTCTTCAATCTGTTCAGATTATATATAATTATCACAAGTATTAGAATTATAAGAAATTAATTTCATAGTTGATCTTTGTTAAGTATAGGTAACTGGAATGATTATAGACTCTTCTTCAACTTCAAAACTTAAGAGTTCTTTATTCTAATTCAAAATAGTTTTGAACTGCTTTGCCTATTGATTATCAAGTAATAAGTCATACTCTGCCTTTTTCATAACTAGAACATTTATCTGCCAACTTAAATCTCCAATTCTTATTTTTAACCCTTCTATTTCTCTTAGTAATCATTCAGATTTTTTATTTATATCTATAAGACTAATATTAAAAGACTTATCAATCTTTCTTTCTATCTATTTTAAAAATCTGGCTAATATGACATTATTAATTGATCCACTATTAACTATTATTCTAGTAAGTTGATCTTCTACTTTTCTTTTATAATGTATTGCATCTATCACTTTTCCATTCTTTTTTTCTAGATTTTTATTCTTCTCAATAATTTTAATTAGCAAGATTTTTGAGATTGATTCATACTTTAATCTTTTTCAGATACAGACTCTAGTTTAAATATAGAATATTACTATTATTAATAATGATGTTAGAAGATGAGGGTGTAATGAACTATTTATCTAAGAGTTATTATAGTTATTATTATTATCTGAAACTGAGATGATATTAGCTCCAAGATTAGTTGGCTGTCTAGTATTCATATTTCTTTCTTTACAACTATTAACATAATATCTTATTTTATTATATTTGAAATACTTGATATTTAAGATATTATTATTATTATTATTATTATTATTTACATTTTTCTTTGACAGCCTATAATTATGAATTGTAACTATTTTTATCATAATTATAGCAAGTTTTGTCTTGATTAAGATGGTTATTAGAATTTTGATTATTCTGAGTTGACAACTTCTTTACTAGTTCTGTGAGATTAGCTATGGCTCTATTCATATCATTTGCTAAACTTGGAATAAAAAAGAGATATCAAAATTTTGTGACATAAGCAAAATAGAGTTAAGAAGATTCTGATAGATCTATCTATAGCTAGATTTAGTACTGATTGCTTTCATGATTATTACATCTAGAGTATTTGGATTAGATTTATTTTTATAAAAGACAATTTCTAGCTTTAAGCCTTTTACAAATTGCTCAATATAGTAAGTGGCAGAATATGTACTTGTTAGATTAATCTTTCAAAGTAATATATGAATATTCTCAGCATAAGAAGTTATATCTTCATTTATTTCTTGCATTTTCAATCTTAACTATTGTTGTCATATCAAGACTTGAGTATTTGTTCTAAACTATACAATAAAGATTTGATAAAGAAAATTATTATCATTATTACCATTCTAGCTGATAGGCCAATCATTATTTGCAAGTTTACTTTGCTAATATCAAGTTGAGACAATTCCTCTCAAATAGGCAGGTACTATTTCTACTTTTCTTGAATTTATTATGTTATTTGCATTTGCTATATGAGTAAATTCCTCTATCCAATTCATAGAATCTTTATATATTCTATCACTATAGAAAGAAAGTGATACTATTATCAGCTCAACTTGTCTATTTTGTTGATTCTGTATTGCTTGCACAAGAGGTATGAGTACTTAAACTAAAGTTTATATAGCTTGATCTGCCATTTCTTCTTCTTGATTTCTTTGGAGTTATAATGAAGATGAATCTAAAAGGATAGGAGGGTGAACTTCTTCTTCTGAAGACTCTTCTTCTGTTATATTTCTTGACTGAACTGGAACTCTTCTTCTATGTAGAAGATTGATGAAGAATATATTAGAAATTGAGACAGAAGTGAATGATAATAAGATTAATGTAGAGTTCTGACTGTGATGTTAACTGAAGTATTGAATCTTGATCTCTGAGTATAATATATTTTTTGTTAGTTAAATATAGTAATTTCCTTGTGTAAATTATGAATGATATCAGTAATCTCAGTTGCAATACGAGTTGAATACTTTTAAAATCAAAGTTGTATTTGATATTTGCTTATTGATACTTCTTCTCTTGATATATTAGCAATAAATAAATTATAGATTAATTAATATAAATCCTTTTCTTGGTATCTGGATAATTAAGATGAATCAAAAAGATTGATTAATCTTTGAAGTTATCTTTTTACTTCATAATTAGTTGATTTTGTTGAATTTAGTTTGAATTATTTTTGTGATTAATAATTTTATTTCTGATTTTGTCTTTATAAAGAGGATATCAAAAAGACTATTATCATTTTAAGATTATATATATATAATTATTTTAAAATAGTAATAGTAATTATGTTTATGATAGTTGTTTACTTTTATAATTTCAAGAGATTATATGACTAATTATTCTTTTGATAAGATGATATATGTAAAATTTACTTCTGACAAAATATAATTATCTTTTCAATAAGATAATTTATATGGTGCATAATATCTAAACTCATCAACAATTTATTATGTAACATCTAAATCTATCTAGTCTTTCGATTTGTGTCATATCAAATTTCAGAGCTGATAAAATGATAGATTAGCTTATAGGCTTTCAATTTATCAGTGAAAATTTTTTAATTATATAATTTTAAGAGGAGTTATTATAGTTTAAAAATAGATAGTTTTATTAATAAATCTTCTAATTTTGGATACCAATTCTCATGTGTTCATGTTATTTGACCAATTAGTGGTCACTTTTTACATGATCTGAATATGTGTTAATCGACTATGGCTTAGTGAGAGATAGCTTAATATAGAATTAATTGATACTTTTTGCATCACTTGTTCTTTTTTTCACTTCAAAAGAGCTTAATAAGGTATGCAGAAGTTTAGAGCTGGTGCTAGCTCAAGTTTCTTTCAGTTAGAAATGGGTGTCAGAGGCGAGGTTTCAAGACTTGTTCCAAGATTAATCTTTCTCCTTTTTTCCTACTAAAATAGCTTTAAGACAACTTGAACAGATATGTGGCTAGCATAGGTGTTGGCTCAAGTTTCTTTGGCTAGAAGTGAATCATGAGGACCAAGATTTTGGGACGTGTTTGCATCTTTATGCCATATTACCAAAATTAACTTTGTCTTCTCTTTTTTTTTCAAAAAATAGCTTCGAAATGACTTGAACAGGTATATGAGCTTTGAAATTGTGCTTCTGTACCTGAGAGAGAATCATTTTTATTCTGGTTTCTTTATTAATATTTTGAATTTGTCTTTTAAATATAACATATAGCATGTCATCTTTGAAAAAGCAACAACAAATTTATAAACAGCAGTCCCAAACCTCTGGTGGTAAATTTGGACCAAAAATGAATCTGGTAGTTGATAATGGTGACTTTGAAGTATTGAATTAAGCAGTTAGGATAGAAAGTGACGGGGTACAAGCATAAATCCAAGATGCTGTTGGTGACACCTCTACAATATAAAGAGATGAATAGTGGGGGTGATAATATGGATAGTAGATGAGAAAGTGAACTGGATCTAGATAGTGAAGAGCAAATTAGCATGTACTTAATGACAAAAAAACTAGAGCTAATTTAGAATAAGAATAATACTTTTGAAAAGAAGAAGCGTGAACCCTATATGATCAGAAAAGTGCTAAAGTCAACGTATTTTGAGAAATATGAACCAAGTAAAACATTTATAAAAGCTGCTATTGGCATAGCAAAAATAACAAACTATTTCACATCCCAATCTAGTATACCTTCACAATCTGAGACTATAGACCTGCAATTCACTGATAATTCAAGTGAATCTGAAACTGAAAATTGGTTACAAGTAAATAATGTCAATGAAAAATTGATATCTTTGAAAACAGAGTTAGAGCATTAAATTGATAAAATAACTATAAAAGAATATAACCAGAAGCGTGCAATTTTTGAATATCTTTCTTGCTTAGATAATTTTGGGTGAGGGTGAATGTGTGTAAGCTTGAAGATAGTACAATTAGTATTTATTAATGGTGGTCCTTGGCAGGTATGAAAAATCAGATATCTCGCAAACCATTGGTTACTTTACAGCAAGCTTCCAATATCACAAATAGAGAAGCATCAAAAAACAATCTGATTAATAGATGATAAAGATATAACTAAAAGATATCAAGTATAGATTCGTGCACAAAATTTCAAAGCTACACCAGCCAAATTCAAAGAATTTGTTGAACAAGAATTACTGGTTGATATTGAAATTACCAGATAAAAAAAATAAGTGAAATGACTGCAGTCCGATAGTTTAATATTCTTGATTATTCTTATCAAAAACAACAACAAGGAGTTTATTATGATAGATATAAATATGAAGATGTAGTTAGTTATCATGACCAGTTTCTCAAAAAAATATTTGAACATGAAAAGTACATGTCAAAATATGAAGGACCTGGTATGGACTGCATCTACCCCAACTTGGAAATTGGTATCAAGGAGCGAATTCTTGTAACACATGATGAATGTATTTTCTATTCTAATGATGGCAAACATGGTGTTTGAGCTAAAAATGATGAATTACCATTACATAAAAAAGAAAATGAATGCTCAATTATGATTAGTGAATTTTTAACTGAAGTTAATAGGTGTTTTTGATTACAACCAGAAGATATAATGCAATATTCAAATATTCCACATAAAATATGAGAATACTTATAGCCTGGCAAAAATTAAGAAGGCTATTGGACAGCTGACCATTTGCTTGAATAAATTCAAACCAAGACAATTCCAATTTTTGAGACATTATATCCAAATTATATAGCAGTATTTGCATTTGATAATAGTTCAAACCATGCTGCATTTAAACAAGATGCATTAGTAGCTAAACAAATGAATCTTAAGCCTAGAGAAAAACAACCTAAAATGAGATATACATATTTTGGACTAAATAATCAATCACAAGATATGATTTTTCCTGATGATTATCTAACAATATCACTACATGATGAATTTAAAGGTATAAAGCAAATATTAGTGGAAAGAGGAAAATGACCTGAAAATGGATTGTTAGCAGATTGTGAACAATGCAAAGCAAAAATTGATGATAAAATAAGAGTTGAATGTTATGCCAGATGAGTAATTTCTTTAGAATTGGATTTTCTTGAACAAAAAGGAGCAATTGCAGAATTAATTGAAAATACTGATCATATGTGCATTTTTTATCCTAAATTTCATTGTGAGCTTAATTTTATTGAAAAATATTGGGGGACAGCTAAAAAATACACAAGAAAAAATTGTGATTATTCATGGAAAGGATTACAAAAAATAGTTTCTCAAAGTTTTGAATCAGTATCATTGGTTACAATTAGAAGATTTGCAAGAAAAACATGATCTTATATGAATCTTTATAGTCAAGGAATTAATAGAAAATTAACAGAATATGCTGTTAAAAAATATAGATCTCATAGAAGAATTCCAGACAAAATTATTAATGAATTGAATAAAATTAATTTTAATTAATTTTTAGCTAATAAAATAACTTGCATGTGACTTTCACGTGATTATTATATCTACACAAATTTTAAACTGATTGACAAATGTTGATGAGTTTAGATGTTATGCACCATATATATTTTACTTATAATAAAATTTAATTATCTTCTTAATAAGATAATATATGTAAATTTACTTTTAATCAAAATATTTTCTCAATAAAGCAAGAAAAAAATAAGATAAGATATAAGATAAAATATGTGTGTTATTAAAGAAAAATACTAATTAACTACTCTTAACTCAATAGTAATTACTTCTACCAAATTTAATTATTCTTCTTGATCACTTCTTGACTCTTTATATATAATATTTTTCTTGTTATACTAATTACAAATTGTTTCTAACATGATATTTCACTTAATTTAATCAAGAATAAGTAAAATTTAAAAAGAATAATTACAAGAAATATTAAATACATAATAATAAAGAATTTAAAATTAGTAAAATATTAAGTTATTCAAAGTTAAAGTGAAAAATAAAAGAAAATTAATAATAATTAATTAGGAAATTATTAATTTAATAAAACTTTAAATTAGATATGATATGGTAGCTATCATCTATAAATCACATAGTCTGAAATTTCAGATGTAGATTACCACATGATTTTTATAATAAATCACATATCTATATATTTTTTATTATGATAAATATATAGTATACAGTGATGCTCAAAAGTATTGCATCACTAAAACAAAAAAACAAAAAAGTTAATTTTTAGTAATATAAACATCACAGACATATAAAATTCAGCACATATATAGTTAAAAGCCTAAATAAATTGCTCACGTAGTTTAAATAATAAATGTAACATTATTTGATTTATTTAGTCTTTATTTATATCAAACTAGCAATACATTTCTTTTGATCATTCTTTCCTCAAAAATAAAGTATGTAAGCACATCAAAAAAATATAACAAAATAATACACATACTTTATATATAAAATACATCTAAAAATGTACTCTTTTATCCCATATCATTCAAATTATCATGACACATTTTCTCATTGAAAAAAGATCATGAATTTATACCCTTCTTCAAGAAGGATATTCCTCTCATTTATTATAAACTGCAAAAATATTTCCCAATCTACCATTATAAGAATAAAGCAAAAAAAGATACTCATGATATCTTTAAAGATTTACCAAATCCAGATCATTCTAGAATTTTAACTGATCATGATGAATGAAATATTATACGTCTAATTTTAAATGATAATTGTCCTACTACAACTTTCATCCAAAAAAAACTGAAATTTGCAGACAAAATTGAAGTCAGCACAAGTATAATAAAGTAAACTTTATATCGCAATGGCCTTTCTTCACGAATTAAGTGAAAGAAACCATATCTTAAGAAAATATATCAGATTTAATTTTTGAATTTCACAAAAAAATATCAGCATTAGATAACTGATGACTGGAGCAAAGTTATCTGATCTAACGGATCAAAATTTATGATTTTTAATTTGGATAGATATAAATACTACTGGAAATATGATAATAAACCACTAAAAGAGCACCACATGAAATCTATGATAAAATTTAGAGGTGGAAATATAATGGTTTGGGATTGCTTTTTATTCTTTGGTGTTGATAATATCATGCATATTTATGGTCATATGGATAAGGAATTGCATCATGAAATTTTAAATGATGACCTTTTAGGAATAATCAGGTGATATAATATTAACAAGAATGATATTATCTTTCAACAAGACAATGATCCAAAATATATGGTAAAGTCTTTTTATAAATAGTTTGATAATATATACTTGATTGGCCTGTCCAATCACTTGACCTCACCTAATCAAGCATCTCTGAATAAAATAGACTAACATTTGAGATAATCATTCATCACAATTCATACTCAAGATCAACTTTAGGACACAGTATAAAAAGTTTGGATTGAAATGGATAATGCATTTTTAATGAATCTAATTGAAAGTATGGAGGAGTGTATTCAAAATGTAATTAATGCAAAGGGTGGATACACTAGATGATAAGAAATATTTAGTTAAAATTTGGTGAATTTTTATTTACTAGTTGGTTAGAAATCTTAATTTGCATTTTTGTAATCAAAATGATCAAAAAAAGTGAATTACTTAATTTAATGTAAAAATAGTTTGTTTTTATTTTTTAAGTTACAAATGAAAAAATAAAGTAAATAAAATAATTCTTTTATATTTGATAACTAAATATATCAAGTTATATATTGTTTAACGTTATATACAAGAAGTTATTGCATCATAAAATTTATCTTTCAAGTGATGCATTACTTTTGAGCACCATTGTATACCATCTCATAATTTTATTTTATTCAATTCTAACAATACATACTCAGAAATATAATGGTGAGACTTATACTTTCTGACAGCATATTCTGCCAACTTATTAGTGATTTTCTTCCTATACAAATCCATGTAGTACTATGCTTTTCTAGCAAATCTTCTTATTGTAATCATATTAACAGATTCCAAGACTGCAAGAATGACACATTGCAAGCCTAATCAAGAATAGTCACAATTCTCTTGAGTATACCTTTTTGCTGTATCCCAGTATCACTCAATATAATTCAGTTCACAGTGAAACTTTGGATAAAAATACATTTATGTCCAGCTTCCAGTATGACTTCTTCTAATACACTTTTTTATGATAAAAAATCTGGCTGTAATGAAATGATTTACCATGTACAACAGTCCATCTAATTTATATCATCAACCTTATTCTTGCATAACTTACAATTAGTACTTAATCTATTTTTTCACAATCCACATTCGATTAATATCTATTTTATTTCTTTAGACTTATTTTTTTCATTAGCCATTAATTGATGGCAGTTATCTGATCCAAAAATTGTGTTTCACATTTTTGGTTGCTTGCCTTCAGATTTTAGATTCATCCAACTTGCTATAAGTACATCAGATCTATATACCACATGATTCAAACTATTATTAAACACAAACAAGGTAATACAGTTTGGAAATATAGTTTTAAAAAATTGGTATAGCCTTTATTTTTACTTGTTCGACTAAATTCTCACTCATCTAGTATCCATCTCAATCTTTTTCTGGTTGAAGATAGACTCAAGCTTCTTTAGGTATAGATGAGCTTTCTTGATGTTGCTATGAGTTTAATTTAAGTTGGCTATATTCTTCTGTCAAAAATTCACTAATCATGATGAAATGTCTATTTCTTTTCTTGCATAATGATAACTTTCCGAATTTCACCCATACTTCTCATTTACCATTATTTGAGTAGAATATACTCTTATCATGTATTACAAGAACTATTTTCTTTTCATTTGGTCCCAAAATTAGTAGTATTCATTCTATATTCTCCCCTTTATACTTAGTCATATACTTTTCATAACTAAATATCATATCCAGAAATAATTATCGATATCTTATAACATTGAGATGCTCAAGTCTATTATAATATATACCTATTTATCATGATATAAAATTAGTTTAATTTTTTATTTTTTAATAATGAATTTATTCTTATCTTGCTTTTGTAATTGAAAAAAATATCTAAACACATTAAGTCAACATGCTGTAGTTGCAATACCAATAGTATTTTTTTTCAATATTTCTGAATTTACAAGAAGTTTCTCTTCAATAAATTCTTTGAATTTTAATGAAGTGGTCATTCCTTTCTAAAATCGAATCTATATATGGTATTTTTCTGCTATATCTTCATCATCTATTAATTGTATAGTTTTTTGA